CCTGCACGACGCAGCCTACATGGGGGACCTGCCCACCCTCAAGAGCTTGCTGGAGCAGGAGAGCTTCCAGAGGTGAGGGAGGCTGCACGCTCTGCACCCCCACACCTGCCTTCCCACACCCCCAGGGGCACGTGGGGGAGGCCAGGTGCAAGGTCCTGTTCAGCACGAAGGGTGCCCTGAGCCGTCCCCACAGCCTGTGCCTTTTCGGGACCCCCACCCTGCCCCGTTTGGCATGGCATGGTTTGGGTGGGGGAACCTTAGGGCTCATCTCGTTCCACCCCCGTGCCACGGGTAAGAGCACTTTCCACTAGACCAGTTTGCTCCAAGCCCTGTTCAGCCTGTCCAGGTATGGGGGGTTTTATGGGAGAGGTCTCAGGGTGGGAGGATGCTCCACTTGCCATCCCCACAGGTTGCACCTTATGGGGACCCCTATCTGACCATATTTGTTTGAGAGACTCGTCAGGATGGTCTGTTTGCTGTCCTCACAGCCTGTTCATTTTGGGCATGCCCGTGTCACCCCATTTTTCATAGAATCCCAGAACAATTTGGGCTGGTCCTGTCCCACCCTCCTTGCTATGGGCCTGGACACCTTCCAGTGGACCAGGTTGTTTCATGCCCTGTCCAACCTGGCCTTGGACGCTTCCAGGGATGGGGGGGTTTCATGGGAGAGGTGTCAGGGTGGGAGGATGCTCCACTCGCCATCCCCACAGGTTGCACCTTTTGGGGCTCCCATCTCACCCTCTTTGTTTGGGAGAGTTGTCAGGATGCTCCATGTGGCATCCCCACAGCCTGTTCATTTTGGGCACCCCCATGTCACCCCATTTTTCATAGAATCCCAGATCAATTTGGGCTGGAAGGAACCTTAAAGCTCATCCTGTTCCACCCCCCCTGCCATGGGCAGGGATGCTTTCCACTGGACCAGGTTGCTTCCAAGTCCCATCCAACCATCCCCCTCCTGGGATGGGAGTTTTTACAGGAAAGGTGTCAGGGTGGGAGGATGTTCCAGTCATCCCCCAAAATCATCCCTGCATGGTCTCCCAGGAGGCAGATCTCACTCCAGCTCACAAGTGTGTGGCAGCCACGCATGAACTCTTTTCAGATCAGGGTAGGAATGTGATACCATGAAAATAGGACCCTATGGATAATGGGAAAAACATACAAAAGGGATAACAATCAGCTATAAACCTGAAACACCCCATGTTACAAAATCTGCCCAAGTGCTAACCCTGTGACTGTGGGGATAGTTAATTAATTTTCCTGCACCATGGAGAAATCTACTTAGAGTGCTAAATGTCTCCCAGCCTCAAAAAAACCTGTCATTTCAGCAAAAATGAGAGTGAGGCAGCCCGTCTTTCTGCCACCTGGGCAGCTGGGTCTGTTTGGACCCTTGGTCTGAGATTTTTTTTTCAGGAAAAAGCAGAGTTTGCCAGCAAGAGGAGGGCTGAATCCACAGCACGATCACACAGGTGATGGACTGAGCAGAGCTGGGATGTGTGAGTTTGGGGATAGATATGGTGCTCCCAAAACCTCAAGGACTAAGGGAGCAGTTATATTTTCAGACTTGACAACCTAGGGCTTGATGGGGGCGGGAGGGTTATATTACTCCTCTTCCAGAGACATCACTGTCAGTGAATTGGGAAAGGCTCTTTTCCCTGTACAGCTATCCAGCAAGGATACTAATGGCCTACTTAGGTTGTTCAGTGCAGAATGGTCACACCTCCCACACCTTACTGGCAGAACTGAGTTTCCCTGGATTTGTGAGTATGCCATCCCATGGTGCCAGGCTGAGCGTGGATGTTGTTTGGTGGTGTGATACAGTTGTATCCCTGCATTTCCATACATTTCTCCCCTCCTGTGTCTTGTTGCTGCTTCTCACTTGTTTTGAGGATTTTCTGTGCACTTTGGAGCAGCTTGAATTAAATGGGTATGGTCCTCAGCTCAGTCACTGCCTATTTCTTAGAATTTTGGAATCACAGACTGGTTTGGGTTGGAAGAGACCATAAAGCTCATCTTGTTCCACCCCCTGCCATGGGCAGGGACACCTTCCACTAAACCAGGTTGCTCCAAACCCCATCCTACCTGGCCTTGAACACTCTGAGGGATGGGAAAGCCAGGATCTGTCTGGGCTATCTATTTGGGACATCTTGCCATAACAAGATAGTAGGGAAGTATTTTTTCTTTAGCTGGTGATTTTGACTGAGTTTTTAGGCAGGGCCTGTGCATTTGTGCAGCCCATGGCACAGCAGAGCTACAGTAAAGCTGCCTGTAGTCTCTAGCTGTTAGTGTGCAGCACCTAGTCAGGTTATCGACAGGAGCTTTTTAGGGCTGCTATAAACTGCTAAAACCCATAGTATCATGGATTATCTTGAGGTGGAAGGCACCCACGAGGATCATCAAGTCCAACCCCTGTCCCTGCACAGGACACCCCAACAATCCCACCATGTGCCTGAGAGCCTTGTCCAAACACTCCCTGAGCTCTGTCAGTCTTGGGGCTGTGCCTGCTGCCCTGAGGAGCTGTTCCAACACCCAGACTTCAAGGGTGTGTAGTTTGGGCAGAGGCAGGGGAGATGGGGTGGCACAGGGTGACAGGAGGGCTCCTCTAACCCAGCATTTTTCTCCCTGTTGCCAGGAGGATCAATGAGAAGTCGGTGTGGTGCTGTGGCTCTCTGCCCTGCACGCCGCTGCGCATCGCCGCCACCGCCGGCCACAGCTCCTGCCTCAACCTCCTCCTCTGCAAAGGAGCTGAGGTCGACCTGGTGGATGTGAAGGGGCAGACAGCACTCCATGTAGCCGTGGTCAATGGACACCTGGACTGTGCCAAGATCCTTCTGGAAGCTGGGGCTAATCCCAACGGGAGCTGGCACCATCGCAGCACTCCTGTGTACCATACAGCGCGTGTGGGCCGGGCAGATATCCTGCGGGAGCTGATCAGGTGAGAGCTCAGCTTGCAGCTGGAGGGGCTCCTGGTGGAGA